GGGCAGTGACCAGAGCAGAGATGGATCCAATCATCACTTAAACTGTCATGGGTCAGAACCCAGAGCGCCGAGCTCAGTGCGGCGAGAAGGATCCGGAAGGACGGGAACGTGGCGCCGGCAGGAAGGCGCCAATTCTCAATAAAGAAGGACACACGTTTGGCAGATCTCAAAGACACATGTTCAGATCACAGCAACACAACGAGTGTCCATCTGCAGCTCAAGGTCACATGACAAAAACAACACAAAAACAACTCAAAAACAACACAAAAACAACACAAAAACAACACAAAAACAACTCAAAAACAACACAAAAACAACACTTTAGAGGATCAAGTTACAATGATATAAATGTACTTTGGTATAAAGCAATGTACACAATGTAACTGCCACATGCACACACACACACACACACACACACAGATGGGCAGACACAGACCCACACACAAACAGACGCACACACACTCAGAGACACACATTGGCACACACAGACACAGATACACACACACAACAGATATACACACAGACATCACACGGACACACACAGAAATCAGATATACACACAAACACATTGGCATACGTAGACACAGATACACACAGATACACAGACACATCATATATACACACAGATATACAGACGCAAATACACACATCATATATACACACACATATACAGACGCATACACACACAGACACACACACACATATACAGACGCAAACACACACATCATATATACACACACATATACAGACGCATACACACACACACACAGATGGGCAGACACAGACCCACACACAAAGTCGTTCCCACTCGTCCAGGCTTGAAATACCAAAGTTAGTGTTTACTCTCGGACTCGGCGGGTCTCGGGTAAAATGTTTTTCATCAGTTTTAATATTTGTTCTTAAAAGCCAAGCATTAAAATTGCTCTGTATTTTATCGTTGTGGAGGAGAAACGAAGCCTTGTGAAGCAGTAACACTGTGTCAGTCTGGACACACCGCCATCTGCTGGACACATGGAACTACTGCAGCTTCTTTTGACAGAGAGTGACCATGTAGTAAAGGGCTGAGGCTGTAGACCCTGGACTGAGGCTGTAGACCCAGGACTGAGGCTGTAGACCCAGGACTGAGGCTGTAGACCCAGGACTGAGGCTGTAGACCCAGGACTGAGGCTGTAGATCCAGGACTGAGGCTGTAGACCCAGGATTGAGGCTGTAGACCCAGGACTGAGGCTGTAGACCCAGGACTGAGACTGTAGACCTAGGACTGAGACTGTAGATCCAGGACTGAGGCTGTAGATCCAGGACTGAGGCTGTAGATCCAGGACTGAGGCTGTAGACCTAGGACTGAGACTGTAGATCCAGGACTGAGGCTGTAGATCCAGGACTGAGGCTGTAGACCCAGGACTGAGGCTGACACACATCATATATACACACACATATACAGACGCATACACACACACACACAGATGGGCAGACACAGACCCACACACACGCACACACACTCAGAGACACACATTGGCACACACACACACAGATAAACACAACACAACAGATATACACACAGACACACACACGGACACACACAGACATCACACGGACACACACAGAAATCAGATATACATACACACTCAAAAACACACACACATTGGCATACGTAGACACAGATACACACAGATACACAAATGCATACACAGATACACACACATCATATATACACACAGATATACAGACGCATACACACACAGCCCCAGAGAGACAGCCCCAGCCTCAGCGTCAGCCTCAGCCTCAGCCTCAGCGTCAGCCTCAGCCTCAGCCTCAGTCTCAGTCTCAGCCTCAGCCTCAGTCTCAGTCTCAGCCCCAGCCTCAGTCTCAGCCTAAGCCTCAGCCTCAGCCTCAGCCTCAGTCTCAGCCTCAGTCTCAGCCTAAGCCTCAGCCTCAGCCTCAGTCTCAGCCCCAGCCCCAGCCTCAGTCTCAGCCTAAGCCTCAGCCTCAGCCTCAGTCTCAGCCTCAGCCTCAGCCTCATCCTCAGCCTCAGCCCCAGCCCCAGCCTCAGCCTCAGCCTCAGTCTCAGCCTCAGCCTCAGCCTCAGCCTCAACCCCAGCCCCAGCCTCAGCCTCAGCCCCAGCCTCAGCCCCAGCCTCAACCTCAGCCCCAGCCTCAGCCCCAGCCTCAGCCCCAGCCTCAGCCCCAGCCTCAGCCTCAGCCCCAGCCTCAGCGTCAGCCTCAGCCTCAGCCTCAGCGTCAGCCCCAGCCTCAGCCTCAGTCTCAGCCTCAGCCTCAGCCTCAGCCTCAGTCTCAGCCTTAGCCTCAGCCTCAGCCTCAGCCTCAGCGTCAGCCTCAGCCCCAGCCTCAGCCTCAGCCTCAGTCTCAGCCCCAGCCTCAGCGTCAGCCTCAACCTCAGCGTCAGCCTCAGCCCCAGCCTCAGCCTCAGTCTCAGCCTCAGCCTCAGCCTCAGCCTCAGCCCCAGCCTCAGCCTCAGCCTCAGTCTCAGCCTCAGCCTCAG